GAGCTCGGAGCGCCCATCCCGCCCGCGCTAAATTGGGGGCTTTCCTAGCGACTGCCCTTCGTCACCCGCACACCATCACTACCGCCTTGCGCTCAACGGAAAATCCGAGGGGCAGCGCGTCGCCCGAGGCTTCGCCGTCAGACCAGCTGAAGAACTCCGCTGCGGTCTGGCTCGGTCCTTCCTTTCAGTTGTAGGGGACGCGAGGCCTTTGCTTTATTTACTTATATGCGGTGCCCAGGATCCAACCGGGGCCTCACACGCTAGGCAAGTGCTTTACCGCTGAGCCACGGCTCCAGCCCCAGTTCGGTCTTGAAGGCGTCAAACCCCAAGGCTTCGACCAAGATAAGCGACCCCATCGTCCAACCAGACGGAGGGGGCACCCCCCGCCCGAGCGTCACCGAGGCTTCAGTGATCTGACCCGTGGGGCAGAATCCTGTTCTGATTGTCGTGCTCTCCCAGTAAGGCGCCCTGGCCGCAGTTGGTTCACCCGTGAAATGGGGATATCCCATCCCTGTGCCCAAATGGGATGGGGGCAAAATCACAGAAGAAATGTGCTTTTCAAACTAAACACAGGTGTGCCCATCTCAAGTTCATCTCTACAGAATCAGTCCTTTCCTTCCATCCCCTCCCCAAGACTCACCTCCCTCTGTATCAAGTCACTCATTTCCAAAACGGGGAAGGAAGCAGGTCTGACTCTGCAGGACTGAGAGGAGGCTCACTTGCCTTAAGAAAACCCGTTTAGCTTTGATTTTGTATTTGGGAAACAGTAAAGACCCAGAAAGAAAAACCAGCCGGCCATGGCTGATAGTTCTACATGTCAGGTGGAGGGGAGGAGTGGAAATTTAATCTATCAAAAAGGAACCTGGGCTGGGGTTGTAGCTCAGTGGAAGAGCACTTGCCTGGCATGTGTAAAGCACTGGGTTCAATTCTCAACACCACATATAATAAATAAAATAAAGGTCCATCAACAACTAAAAAATATTAAAAGAAAAGAAAAGAAACCTGCTTTTAACATCTGAGAAACTTCACTAGAGGCCACCGCCACTGTGCAGCCGGGTGCAGGCAAAGCTGTGGCCTGGGCCAGGGTAAGAGCTACTGGTCAGGGAAGATTTGGGTCAATACCTGAGGTTTCAGGGTCAGGGGGTACCCAGGTTGGAGGGCAAGGCCCAGCTAGAGAAGGACTGACTGACCTCTGCCAGTAAGCACAGTTGATCACTAGGTACCCCAGGTCTGTCATCCTGTCTGGAGTCCCCAGTCCTGCTGGGTCCTGATCTGGGCCCTGACAGACTCATGAGTCTGGTTCTGGTCCTGCTTACCCCTTTGTATCCACTGCAGAGTGTTCCTCAGCTCCAGGGCTGGGCTGAGGACTTGCTCCTTGCTCCTTCCTCCAGGCACCTGCCTGTTGCTGCCACTAGGCCTCCCTTAGTTACCAATACCTCCCAGGCAGCCTACATTAGCTGCAAACCACACTGTGGCTGCTTCCACCTATATTTTCTCATTCTGTCCTCAGTCCCTTCTAAACACTTCTGTGAGAGAGGTCTAGGCTGTGAAGTCTAAAATTCATCTTACAGAAGGGAGACTAGAATCCAAAGAGGTGCAGTAACTTGCCCAAGGAAACACAGCAGAAAGCTGTAGGTAGCTTCCAGCCACATGCTCTTACCTGTACACAATGCTGTCTCACTTGAGATTTTGGAAGGGACAGCAAACACAGCTCCTCTCTCCTTGACCTTCTCTAAGTTGCAACCCACAGGAGCCTACAGCAGGGAGGCACATTTACACCAGAGGAAGCCTCTAGCTCCCCTAGCTGTGAAGACTGTCCCTGCTGATTTGGTAGCTTGGCTCAGCTCAGTCTGGACGGCAGTCACTTGAATCCCCAGGGCTGTTACCCACCATTCATGCTGTGCCCCATAACCAGGTGGCCCCCAGGACCAGTTACCTGAAGGGAGTTGTGCCAGTGCTCACCTGCTCCCTGGGAAGGATTCTAAACGTGAAGCTTAAGTAACAGGGAAACAAATGACTGGAGTCACAACCCAGGTTGCCAATGCCAAGTGCCTGCCAAATCTGGCTGTGGGCTAGGTGGACTCTGTGCCCACTGTCAGCAAAACCACATTAACCAGGAGGATTAGAGGATGGGCATCCTGGATAAAAGGATGTACTGAGTATCTGATGATTAACTTGCAAAGTTGTTCTACAATGCCTGACTTTTAATAGCAAGAAATTTAAAAATAAAAAAGACAATGGCAGAAAAGGAAATAAGAGAAAATAAGGAGGTTAGACAACCAAAATCATCAGAACAGGGCGACAGAGAGCAGAGAGCCAAAAAGAGCCACAAGTGAGCACTAATGGAGCTTCTGCCCAGAGAGCGGCCCAGGCAAGGGGAGAGCAGCAGGCTGGAGCCTTCCCTGAGGGAGCTCAAGCCCCCACCTGCCAGCCCAGAGCCAGCCTGTCGCCCACCGATTCCTTCCTCCTGCTGCCCAGCCCTGATGGTTTATTTCTATTATGCACACCCTTTCTAAGCTTAAACCTTTGGCACTTCAAGTTCTTTCATCCATGCCTGACTTTAAAAATAATGCTCCCTAAATGTCAAAAGGTAACTAATTTATGGCTTTTCAAATAAAAACAGCTGTCAAAAGAAAAACAATATAAAATTTTTTAAAAATTAGAAAAACTCAAATGTCTAACAATAGAAGACTGGCCTAATAAATCATTGTTCTTCACATATTGGAATATTAGGCCCTCATTCCAAAAGGTACAAAGGAAAATTTAATAACTGGACAAATGATAAAATTATGTAATGGTAAAATTATTTTAGAGGTTTCTGAACAGTGATTAAAAAATAAGTCAGTTGCTGGCACAGTGGCACACACCTGTGACTTGGGAGGCTGAGGCAGGAGGATTACGAGTTCAAAACCAGCCTTGCAACAACAGTAAGGTACTAAGCAACTCAGTGAGACCCTGTCTCTAAATAAAATACAACATAGGGCTGGGGTGTGGCTTAATGGTCAAGTGCCCCTGATTTCAATCCCCAGTACACAAAAAAAGAATAAAAAAGCCTATAACTAATTAGAACAAATACAAAATGAAGAATAAGCCCATATTTGTAAATGAAAATTTAAATGTATCTTCTATATATAAATATAATAGGAAGAAGATAAGAAGACACCAAAATGTTAACTGTAACTGGCTGTGGTGGTGCATGTCTGTAATCCCAGAAATTTGGGAGGCCAAGGCAGGAGGATTGTGAGTTTAAAGCCAGCCTCTACAAAGCAAGGTGATAAGCAACTCAGTGAGACCCTGTCTCCAAATAAAACAAAAATAGGACTGAGGATGAGGCTCAGTAGCCAAGTGCCCCTGAGGTTGATCCCCAGGAACAAAAAAAAAAAAGTTAACTGTAGTTCCAGCTACTCGGGAGGCTAAGGAAAAAGATCATTTGAGCCCAGAGGTTCAAGACCAGTCTGGGCGATACAGTGAGACCTCATGTCAACAACAACAAATAAACCACAGAGATACAGCACAAAGGCCATGCTAAGGAGGAAGAGATGGGCTGTGCTGCCTCACACCAAGCAGTGCTGGGGAACCCCAGAAGCTCGGAGAGGGGGGGATTCCATCCTTGCTCAGAGTGGGCATGGCCCTGCTGACAACTGATTTCAGACTTCCAGCTTCCAGATCTGAGATTTTTTTTCCTTTGGTGCTGGGGATCAAACCTCCCCAGTGGTTTCTGCTGTTTTAAGCCACCTGCTGTGTGGAAATTTGTCACAGCAGCCCTAGGAAACTAGTAGGTAGAAAGACATCCAAGCTGGCCCTCGATGGTCCTTACCTCCTGGTGTCTACACCCTTGTATAATTTCCTGCCCTCAGGAATGGGCAGGACCCGTGACTTGCTCCCCCATGGTAAACCCAGCAAAGAGGGCAGGATCCCTTCTGAGATTCAGATCATACCTGCTCTCTGCTGAAAGCTCTTGCTTTTCAGTTTGATGAAGCAGGCTGCCAACTGTAAGCTAGAGGCCTTGAGGCAAGAAAGTGTGACCTGCCCAGGGGCCACAAGGCACTGAATCCCGGCAACCAGCATGTGAGTGAGTTTAAAAGCAGCTCTCGTCTTTCCCTGTGAGCCTTAGGATGACATTGTGACCTTGGTCCACATACCTTGCCTGCAGCCTGTGAGAGATGCTGAGACACAGGACCCAGCTAAGCTGTACCCAGGTTCCAACCTACAGAACCAGGGGTTATTTCAAGTGGTTATGTTTGGGGATGAATGCTACACAGCAACAGCGAATACAGACATGAGGAATTTCCTATTTTCCTGACAATATCACAAATGATTTTAATATTGTATGTTTGTTTTCCTATTTATATTACATCTGTAATCATGAAAAATATTAAATTTTAAGTCGGGCATGGTGGCGCATTCCAGGGGCTGGGGAGGCTGAGGCAGGAGGATTGCAAGTTCAAAGCCAGCTTCAAAAGGGGGGGGCGGTTGGGAATGTGATTGGGTTAAATGCTCCTGCATTCAATTCCTGGTACCAAAGAAAAATATTAAATTTTAAAGTCTTTTAGTTTTTTTGTTTGTTGAGGATCAAACCCAGGACCTCATGCATGCTAAACAAGCACAGGACCACTAAGCTTGTTTATCCCCAGTCCAAAAAAAAAAAAAAAAAAAAAAAACAAAAATTTCAAGATCTGTCTACATTAAAACTGTGAGGCAAAATTGGTCTTTTTCTTAAACTGGTTCCTCCGCCTAGAGTATGTTATTTTTCTTACTTCCTGCTCAGGGAAACCAATAGCTACTGAGCACCCACTGTGTGCCCAGATGCGTCTCAGCAGATTCCAATCCTACCAGTGGAATAGAACCCCATCCCTTGGCCTGTCATTCAATACTTATCATTGAATAGAGCATAGTTTTCCCCCTACCCTGAGTACGAAGCTACATGCCCCCATCCCCAACCTTTCAAAATTATTGAGATAGGGTCTCATTAAGTTGCCCAGGCTGGCCTTGAACTTGCAATCCTTTTGCCTCAGCCTCCCAAGCAGCTGGGATTACAGGTATACACTTCTGTGCCAAGTGGAGGGAATGGGAACGTGCCAGGCCCTGCAGGTGGCACTGCTGGAGAGCACACAGGCCTGGTTCAAAACACAAATGCTAGAGGCAGATCACCTGCATTAAAACCCAGCTCTACCATTTATCATCTTGTCATGTGGGCAGATTGCATAATCTTACTGCACTCCTAAGAACAGGGATGAGTAGGGGATAGAAGATGTCTGTGTCCCCCTGAAACGCAATGGCAAGTGTGATGGTGTAAGGAGGCAGGATCTTTGGGGTCCTGAGGGTGGAACCCCAGGAGGAGATCTTCTGCCTCTTCCACCATGTGTGCTACAGCAGGATGACAGCCTCACTCGACACCAGATCTGCCAGTGCTGCAGTATGGACTTCTCAGCTTCCAGAAAGGTGAGAAACTTCGGTTACTTACAAGCCATCCTGAATGCACCCAGACGGCACCCACCTCATACAGTGGTGATGATGAGTTCCACGCATTAAGTGCGTGGTCACAGAACGCGTCACACAGGCAACAGCTTCTATCATTGTTGTAAAGGGTCCATTTGGAGCACAGGAAGTGATCTTCTGGTCATTGGCCATTAAATCCGTCCAGATTCTCTTTTATACATTGACTCCCACCTTAAACAACTTTAGTTCACCTATTGTGTCAGTCACCTATTGCTGCATAACACTATTACCACAAATGTAGAATCTTGGTTTTTTTCCCCTGTGGTGCTGGGGATTGAACCCACAGCCTTGTGCATGCAAGGCAAGTACTCTACCAACTGAGCTATATCTCCAACTCACAAATGTAGAATCTTAACTTTTTTGGGGGGCGGTGCTGGAGATCAAATCCAGGGCCTCTCGAATGCTAGGAAAATAGTCAACTGTTCTACTGCCGAGCTGCACCTCGAGTCAAAAACATCTACTCTTTCCCTGAGTCAGGAGTCTGGCACAGCTTAGCCAGGTCCTCTGCAAGTCCACACCCAAAGCACTGGCCAGGGCTAGATTCCCATCTGAAGGCTTAACTGGAAGAATCTGCTTCTAGGCCCACATGGTTTTTAGTGGCATTCATCCTTGGCATTTAGTGTCACACATCCTTGGACTAAGAGCGTCAGCTTCGTTTTGGCTGACAGCCAGAGGCTACCCTCAGCTCCTTGCCACCTTTCTTCTTGGGATAGCTCAACAGGGCAGCTTGCTTCTTCAAAGCCAGTAAGAGATGCTGCAGTCCCATGTTACAAAACCATGGAAGTAACACCTTCTTGTCTTTGCTGGATTCTGTGGGTCACAGATCTACCCACACTCAAAGGGTCTTACACAGGCTGTAAAGACCAGGAGGGAATCATAGGGGCCATCTTAGTGTGCCACACTTTCTAGCGTATCCAAATCCTCCCCCGCGCAGGAGCTGAGGTCTCACCCCCCCCCCAAACCCAATGCCCACCTCCTACCATCCACTTGAGCCATCTCCACTGTACCAACTTATGAGCTCCAGTCACAGTATAATTGAAGAGATGCCTGAGTTGATACTGGGGTCTTTTCCTGGAGACCCTGGTCCTGTAATGGTTTTGTTTTTCTCCAGCTGGAATTCTAGCTGGTGACAGAGCACAGCAAACCAGCCTTTGCCCACCAGGACCCTGGAGGTACTTCTTAGTCTAGACACTTGATGGATACTTCTTTATTATTTTCATCACCACATGAGCAGCTTCTGCGTGTTACCTGACTAGAGACAGAATTAAGGACAAACTATACAGCAGGCACCTGCTCTGGTTTTATGTGAGGCCTGGGCTGAGGAAGAACCTATGGTCACACGGCTGACCAGTAGACAGCCTAGATTCAAAGCCCGGGTCTGACTCCAGAATCTAAGCACTGACCTCCAACTTGTAATTAAGGGTCTGTCTCCTCTAAGAATGAGCTCTCTCATTTCCAGCCCCCAAGCACTCAGAAGTTCCTCATCCAGATGGGTAGTGAGGGGACATGAAACAGACACTAGAAACTACTCCTGAGGGCTCTTTGATGTAATCATTATTAGTATTCAAGAGGGTTTTCAATTTCCATTTTTTTCTCCTCTTTTTCACTAGTTATTGAGGCTAGTTTCATGCCTACAATAAAAACCCATCCATCTTTTTATCGGAAATGGGGATTGAACCCAGGGCACTTGACTGCTGAGCTGTATGTATCCCCAGACTTTTTTTTAGTTGTAGGAAGATAATTCTTTTTATTTTTGTTTATATGAGGTGCTGAGGATCTAACCCAGGGCCTCCCATGTGCTAGGCAAGCTCCCTACCGCTGAGCCACAACCCCAGCCCTCCAGACTTTTTTTCTTTTGAGACAGGGTCTAAGTTGCTTAGGGCCTTGCTAAGTTGCTGAGGCTGGCCTCAAACTTGCAATTCTCCTGCCTCCCTTGTTGCTGGGATTACAGGTGTGCAACACCACACTCAGATCCAACCCCATCTTTCTTAGAGAACCTTCAGGTACAGGAAGCATGGCCTTTTGACTTTAACCTCTGTGCGTGCATCCTTCTTCCCTGGGAGAGGCTTCCAGAGGCGGATGCCGGTGAGCCACTCCCTCCAGCACAGCCCTTTCTACCAAGGTTCCATGACAGAACCAGCCTTCCTTCCAGAAAGTGAATTCAGGCAGCTGCTCTCACAATGTCCCGAGGATGGGAAAGACTCTTCTAGACAGGAGAGCCATCACTGGTTACCACAGTGGCCAATCTGAAGCCCTAGCCCTGCACTCTGTATCTGGACACAGTGGTGAGGGAGGTGGCTCTCAGTCCATCTGTGGCACCCTGGAGAGCAGAGCAGCCATGCTGCCAAAAACACACTCATCTCCGACGGAAGTAAAGATATTTATTTTTTAATCTTAAAAATCTGGTCCCACAAAAACGCCAGTACTTTTTCAGTTTGAAGTTCTTGACCCTTAAAAAAAAATCAACTGCGAGGTAAGGTTAACTCAAAGAATCATCAAAGGTGCACTCAGATAAATCAGTAATCCAGGCCACGCTGGACTCTGAATTCGCCGAACTTCTTCTTCCTTCTGTCATTCACAGTCCTTGAAGGAGAAAAGAAAGTGAGAAGCTGTCTGCAGATAAGGCACTTCAGAAATCACCAGACAGAAAATCCAAGTCCACCAGGTACTGCGCTGCGAAGCTGAGCCCAGGGGGCTGCAGTGGGCAGTGAGCCAACCCAGCTCTGTAAGACCTTCCCACCAGACCCTGCCCCACCTGGCTTCCAGCACCTTCATTGGCCTGTGCTGCCTGCCTGGCTGGAAGACAGAAACTAGGCAAGTGGGCAGAGATGAACACTGCCACCTGGCACTCAGGCAGCCGGCTGGCAGTGAGGAGTGACTTCAGAGGCCCTCGCTTGCAGCTACCCAGCAGAATACTCCCTTCTGCAAAGATGAGTTAGTGCAGGTTGGAGCAAAAGCAAAGCACAATACTAAAATCTCTTACAAGCCACTTAATCCTTCCAACATCTCCCAATGGCCAGTTCAAGCTATGGCCTAAAGATCTGGCAGAAATCAGGATGGAGTCCCTCTTCTTGAAGGTACTCTGACTTAAGTGGCTACCAACAACAGGAGGCAGAAAGCCCCTGCCCAACAGAGACCCCAGGACACCCATCAACCCTGAGGAGGGCTGATCCGAATCCAGGCGCAAACTCAATCCATTCTGCTGCTTTGGGGGCTTGTGTTTAATGCGGGTCACTGAGATGAAGGCAGGCCAGTTTCAGAGTCTCCTGCACATCAAGAGACAGGGGGACAGGGGTTCTGGATCGTTTCTTCTCCTGCGTTCCGGCTGCATACCGAATCCCAGGAGACACTGCGACAGGGTGTTGACTTACTGCCCCCTGTGCTCAGTCTGTCAAGAAGGGCAGGCAAGGAGGGGAGAGTGGTGCTCCAGGGGCCAGCAAGGAGTCTCGCCTCCTTCCCAGATGAGGCAGCGCCTTCCCAGAAGTCCAGGGAGGAAACAGGGCTGTGCTCAGGTCAGAACTGGACCCAGCCTGTGCCGGACTGAGTCTGGCTGGAAGCCGACCTGTGAGGGGAAGATGGGGTAGGAGTTCAGCTGTTTGAAAACAGATTCAAGTTGGCTTTTCTTTGGCAGAAAGAGCTCTAAATAGCCCATCCCTAAATGGTTTAGAGCAGTGGCCAGGGACCAAGTCTGTGTGTACTTTTAGTTAATGTAAACTTTAAAAAAAAAACAAAAAAAACCCTCTTAAATTAGCTATATCATGTCTGTGGCGTTTTTAGAAGTAAAGTCCTCCTGGCCATGCCCACTTGTGTCCACACCCTCTGTGGCTGCTTTACTGTGGCAACAGCAGGACAAGTACCTGGACAGAGACCATGTAGCCCACACAGTCTAGACCATTCACTTCCTGGCCTTTAGAGAACATGTACACAGACCCGGATCCTAGAACCTGGTGCAACAGGAATTCGTCTTTCCACCTGATCCCAAGTGAAGGCTTGGAATCTTAGAGAGTCAGAGGTCCTCTGAAGCCCAAAACCTAGGTCCTGATTCTTAGCCCAGCATTCCAGGGTAGCAGGGGACAGTGGGAAAAGAAGAGAGGTACTGGGACAAGCCAAAACACTTGGTGAGGTGGTTCAGATGCCCAAACAGATTTGCTAAAGATGGCCACAGGCAGTGGGCAATGGTGAAAAGCTTTCAGAGAGGCACAAGAGAACAATATGCCACCCAAAGCAGGCACTCTGGGGCACTCTGTCCTCTGGCTGGCCTGAAAGTATCCAAACCAGAGCAGATGCTCCCAGCACCAGGAGACACGTAGGGCAATCCTAAGTTTCTAGAGAAACAGCCCTGGTCCCAGCCACCTCAGAGAATGTGGCACTCCTTACCCTGTGGATTTGGTAAAGTCTCCCCAGATGTCAGCAGTGGCAGCAGTGGCAGGCTTGGGCTGTGGCCAGGATTCAGTGGCACCTCCTATTTAATGTCCCCAAGTCCAACAGGTAGGGAGAGAAGACAAAGAGACACGGAGTCAGAGACCTTGGTGACTGGTGATCAATGTCATGATTCTAGGTGGCTGAAAAATACACACAGAGATGCTTGGGGCATCAGAATGCTGGTGAGTCGCCACATCTCTACCATCTTCACCCAAGGCCTTGAGGGCTTCTGGGGAAAGGCAGAAAGCCACAAACAAGGCGAGGAGAGGTGCCAGAGCACAGCTATCTGTCATTACTACCTGAGGCTGTTTCCCACCATGTTCGCTGGAACCCATTTGAATGTACTATGTCCCGTCTTGGCTACCTGCATGGAGAAGTCCCCACCCAAATCACAAGGTCACCTTCACAGGAAGCCTCCTGCACTTCTGCATCAACCAACTGAGGAGGTTACATGTGAGACATAGGTCAAGTCCTGAGCCCCCAGCTATTCAGGGGGCAAGGAGACCCTTCCAGAAAAGGTGATTCAGCTACCTCCCATGCCCCATGCTGCCAACTCTCTCTTCAGGACAGTCTGTGTCTGCCACTTCTGCTTCCCACTAATTTGCTATTTCTCATCTGCTCTGAGCGGGGAGACTGGATAAAACAGGGCTCTTAATGTTGTAGCTTTAGTTTGCCAAGTGTTCATCACTTAAGCACAGCCCGTAGCAGACCACAGGTCAAGACTAACCATGAGACTTTGTGCAGGTCACTAATGTTTTAGTTGTCCTGACTGTAAAATGGGGATGGTAATGATGATTGCTTCCCAGGACACTGTGAGAAAGAAGAGAGTTAATGTTCTGGAACGCTCAGAATAGGCTCAGGACACAGTGGTGTGGGTGATGACATTCATAAAATGGGAACTAACATCAGGCTTGTGCACACAGCATCCTACATATTGCTCTAAGTGCTCTGAGTGGATCAGCTCACTTGTTCCTTCCAGAAAACCTGTAACTGTAGGCATCACTGCTACCCCATCCTAGAGGTGAGAAAACAGGCCCAGACAAGCCAGCAGTCGCTGATGACTGCACAACGGAGGGCCAGAGCTGGACCTCAGTGGTCTGGTTCTGGAGCATACAGTGAGTGCTCCACAGATGTCAACTATTTGTGACTTGCCACTGAGCCATCCTGCCTGTAGACAAGCTAACTGTCTCACACACTAGGATAGAAGCCCCCCAGAGCAGGAGCTCGACGCTGTACAGACAGCACCCAACTTGAGGATGGTCTGATTCAAGATTTTTCAATTTAATAATGGGTTTATCAACTTTGTAATGGTTTATTAAATACCTCTTCAACTTATGATTTTGACTTCTGATGATTTTGCCAGGATATAACTCCATCTGTCATAACTCAAGTGTCTGTCCTTGCAGCATCCCCAAGGCTTAACACTCCATAGGACAGGTGTCAGGTGCTAAAAACGCATCAGCACCAAGGAAAGGCTAAGGCAGTGGCTCCAGCCACTCAAGTAAAAATGTAAAAGAGTCAAGTGTGGAAGCACAAGCTTCTGATACCAGCAGATCAGGAGGCTGAGAGCAGAAGGATCGACAAGTTTCAAAGCCAGCCTTGGCAACTTAGCAAGATCCTATCTCAAAATAAAAAATAAAAAGGGCAGGGGAGGGCTGAGGCCGTAGCTCAGTGGTAAAGTGCTTGCTTTGCATGTGTAAGGCACTGGGTTCAATCCTCAGCACCACATGAAAATAAATAAAGATACTGTGTGTTCATCTACAACTAAATAAATATTAAAAATAAATAAATAAATAAATAAAATTTAAAAGAGGGCAAGGGAGGGGGCTGGGATTGTTGCTCAATGGTAGAGTGCTTGCCTGGCATGCATGAGGCTCTGGGTTCGGTCCCCAGCACCATATAAACAAATTAAATAAACAAAATAAAGGTATTGTGTCCATCTACAACTTAAAAAAAAAAATGGGCAGGAGAGGTGGCTCAGTGGTTAAGCATCCCTGGTTTCAATTCCCAGCATACACACAAAATACAACCACAATGCAAATGAGATTGTAGATTCTTGCCCCTGTCCTTGGCAATTGTCCTATGGCCCCACTTGGAGAAATAATGCTTAAAGATGAATTCCTGGTGCCAGCGTAGGGCCCTGACTGCAGTTCCTCTCAGCCCCCCGGTTGGGGTAGCACCACAAGGCAGAGGGTAGAAGTCAGACCTGCAGATAAAGCTGCCAGTGGCAGGGACTCTCTCAGGAATGAGGAAGGCTTCCTGCCTAGATGCTGCCTGAAGAAATGGGTGGCATGGGGTAGAAAGGGGGCTGGTGACCTAGGTCAAGGCCAGGAGCATCATGCTGGGCAGGACAGTGGGCTGGGAGGGCTGGCGTCCCAGCACTAAGAACTTGAGGAACCCAGGGGCCTCTCCCAGGCTCACAGCACAGTCTGCTGAGGTAGCCGCCTCTCACTTCCTGGGACCCCACAGCACTCAGTCTCCAATTTGAACTCCCCTGCTCACCTTGGCACCCACCTCCCTGAGTACACAGGGCATCTAAATACCTGAGCCTGAGTCACACTCTTCCTCTGCCTGGAACACCAATACCTCTGCCCCTTCCTTCATAATCCAGTTCCATGCCACCTCCTCCATGAAGCCTCCCAGACCATGTTGGAGGCTGGTGAACCAGGGCCACATCCATTTCATGCCTGACCCACCCCTCCCACTAAATGTGAGCTGACCTGTCTCCATCACCCACCCACTCAACACCTACAGAGGACTAGGAATCTGCATGCTGATGATTTCACAATAGCGAATAAGTCATTGTCCCTGCTTATCAGGGGAGGGCAGTCGCCCTAAAGGAGAAAGCAGAAGGTGTTAAGGAACTGAGAACCCCTCAGTATGTGCAGGGTCCACTTTGTGGTGCCCTCTTTCTAGCCTGACATCGACAGGTACAAAGGGACACATTACTGAGTGTGAAGGATGGCAGCCACAAGCCCCAGCTGCTGGGGAAAAGAAGTCGTAGGTTCACTGTCCACCCCAGCACTGACCTGTACCAGGAGCAAATGCTGGCTGCACAGGGGACCGTCCTGTAGACAACTGCTCCCCAGGGGGTGGGATCAGTGTGGAGGTTTTGCCCCCTGGGGGCGGGGGAAGCAGGCTCAGCCCTCCCGTGCTGGCAGGCCGGGCTCGGGGACTCCCAGTTCCTTCCTTCTTCTTTATGTTCTAAATGGAGAAAAGGAATGCAAATCAGTTCTGCAGAGCTCAAGTGAATCAGAAAACCTTATGAGGAGGGCCCCGGGGAGCTTCAAACCCCAACATCTGTATAACCAAAGGATGGTCCTTCCCCAGCACCTTCATTTTTAGGAGCTGTATCCAACGCATCCCAACTCGAAATCCATCACCAATGCAGTTAATTTTAAAGCCCAGAACCTGAATTCATTATCATCAGGGAAGTGAGCATCAAAACTATATTAAGCCAGTCTTGGTGGCATGTGACTGTAATCCCAGCTAGGCAGAAGGTCAGAAGTTCAAGGCAGAGGCAGAAGGTTAGAAGTTCAAGGACAGCATGGGCAACTTAGCAAGAGCCTTTCTTAAAATGAAAAGGACTGAGGATGTCACTCAGAGGTGGACGCCTGGGTCCAACCCCCAGTACTATTTCACACCCACCAGAAGCCGACAGCACAGGATACCACTGCTGACATTCATGCACTGCAGGCCGGGTGGGAACGGGTGAAACTGCTCTGGAGAATTGTTAGAAAGAATCTATGAAGCTCCACACAGGAACTCCTGGTCCTGCAATTCCACGCCTGGAAGAAGCCCTGACAGCAATGCACATTCAGGCGCACCAGAGACCCAAGCTGGGACACCCCCAGCAGCACTGTCCTAGTCATCAGCACAACAAACTAGATGCATTCCCACAAGGAACACCAGAATGAATCAAGCATGAGCAAGGACACCCTCCAAGTGTTACCCCAGGAAGAGAGCGGAGACATAAACAAATCAGAACAAAGCCTGCGACTCCACTCGTGAAAGTCAAGAACAAAGTCTAGGTATCAAAGTTGGGGGGTGGGTAGTTACTGGCTGGAAGGGACCGGGGGGACTTCCCCGGTGCTCAGTCTTCTGCTTCTTAAACTGGGTGCAAGTTTCTGAGCAGTTTTTGAAAATTTGCAGAGTTCCGCATTTATGATTTGGGTACTTTTCTGTACACACACCTGTTATACTTCAATAAAACTTGAAACAAAAACACCAAGCAGCAAATGTGAGCCAGAAGCTAGCACAAACGACACGGATGAGTACAACACAGCCTGCTGCTTGTAAGGAAGGTGGCAGCTGAGTCAAGTGGGGAGCGTGGTCTGCAGTGAAGGTCCTCTGAGTCCCTAGGGTGAGGCCAGCCAGGCCAGTCACCTGCAGTGTAAGACTCCGGAGAGTTCCTCACCTTCCTGCACCATGACATCCTTGTCTTTTCAAAAGGGGAAGAATGTTTAATTTATATGAGAAATGCCTAAAAACACTACCTGGCCCCCAGCTGATGGTCATTAAATGTTAGTTTCCTCCAAGCAAGGGAAAGAGGCACAGCTCATCCAGTCCACTGGATTGAAACTGCATTTTCTCCTAAGGACCAGCTGCCCAATTTCAAGGGTCCCAAATCATCACTAGCATGAAGCAGAAAAGAAGAGAAAGAGACGGTGAGTAAAAAGGAAAAGCATTATTCTAGAGTTACAAACTTCCCTCAGAAGCTGAACCCATTTGGTCCTTGGTGTCCCTGAATCATGACTCCAAATCCCCCCTTCACCAGTCAGCCAGGTAAAGCCAAGTCTTGACAACCCCGGGCACCCCAACCTGCTCCCATTCAACAAGGAGCTGATGGGGCTGAGCCAGATGCCCAGCTACTCAGACGCCAGGGCCAGGACGACTCGACCCGCAGAAGCTGTCCATGCTCCCTGCACTGCCCTGACAGTTTGTGGCCCAGAGCTGCCCAGAATCTTCCTTACTCAGGGCATAAGCCAAGAGGCAAACTGAACTGACCCCTCCTGACCCACTCTCACAGCCAGGACACCAAGTAACCCACATTCCTTCTCAACTCACAGGCGCTTCAGGTGCTCTGCCCTCTGTCTGAAATACTTGTTCCCTTGTCCCTTGCCTGTGGGTCACTACTTTTAGGAAGCCTTCCTTGGGTCCCCCAATCATGGGCTTTGTGTCCTTCCTCTAGAAGCCCACAGCAGCAGGCATCCTAGGGTGGCAGAGCCTCTCCTGCCGTGTGATCTGGTCTCTGCTTGCTCAGCTCGACTCTGAGACCACGACAGCAGAGCTCTGTTCGGCCCAGGGCGAGCCCAGCACCAATGGAACTGAAGTGGGAGAAGAGGAGCTCTGGGCCAGGTGGCCTCAAGTATGGTGTGACCATGGTCAACACAGTTAAGCGAGGGTAGGACTCACTGCGATGTTGAGCTTGATGGTCTGGCCCTCCTTGAAGCCCAGGTCTAACTTGGGGCCTTGGTCTGGGTTCTGGGCTTGCTTTGCAAACTCACACTGCTGTTTCACCCATCTGGGGAGAGAAGGAGAAGGAAACGGTCAGCTGGAAGAGACCCGCTCTCTGGGCTCACGTCCACTCACAGTGGTCCAAGGAGGCTTGTGTGGAGGTAGGGTGGGAGGTGGGGGCTCGGGGCCGGACGCTTTAGCAGCCACCTGCACGTTGGTTTCCTCAGCAGCACAACTGACAGTTCTAGTGAAGACGCTGTGACAATTCAACCGGTCCCCTATGCAGAGGTCTGTGCCCTAGGGTCTGTGGGCTGGGCTCCAGGAGGTGAGGGAACTTTGTCCTTGCCTCCCCCGCCCTTGGCATGGTCTGCACACACCCCAAATGGCCATCTGTGGGATGCCGTCCATCAAGACAGATGCCCAGAAGAGGGCAACACAAAGGTCCCCTTTCCTCCTGTCCTCCTCACAACCTGTGACAGAGGCCAACCTGTTGGCAGTCAGTGATGGACACGGACCTTCCTGTCCTCTCTTTCATAAAGAACACCAGGGCATCAGCTGAGTGGCCTGGGAACCCAAGTGCCACTTATGACATCAAGGAAGAGCAGGCCCAGAGAGGCCAAGAGAGACGAACAAGGACCCAAGCTGTTCAGGGGCTGGGGAGAAAGAGACAGGACGTTTCAAAGGCTGGGTCAGCTGACGGCGCTGGTAGAGCCTGGCGCTGGGGAAAGAAGACGTCACAGTAGACCAGGAGTGGCAGGGGGACAGGAAAAGGCGGCTGCCTGAAGAACTCTCTGAGGCTCCGCCAGCGGGAGGCCACGCCCAGCCACTGGCGTCCTCTAACCTGGGAAGTCATTCTGTCCAGGGAAAGAAGGGGAAGCACGAGCCTCCTAGAAACACTCACTTGAAATGATCCTGCAACGCCACGTTGAAGTCAAAGGCATCACCCCGGTCCACGAAGCCAATCCCAATGAACGCCCGCCGCCCTGCGGAACAGCACAGTCAGTCCCGCTCTTCCGGAGGCAGAGGACACCTTTCTCAAGGGGGGCACCCAGACCTACGCGTACCATTTCCGTCCTCAATGCGGATAACGAAGTACCTGCTGGAATCCGTCACACTCTCCACGGCTGTGCCAGGAAACTGGTCCACTGGCGCCTGGGCAAAGAGCTCCCCTGAAAGCACAAGCTGGGGTGAGCCCCGAGCCCCGCAGCCTGGAGTCCAGCTCGCGGCTGGGCCTCCCACCAGGCATCTCTGGCAAGCCGGGCGGACAGGCAGACCTGACTCTGGGATCCCAATCCAATCCATTCTTGCTGAAGGGAAGACGTTGGAATGTAACTAAGGAAAGATCTCAGACAGTGGTTTTCAGGTCAAATCCAGCACCATTTTAATATTTTTTTATTTAACTGCCAAACATTCCAAAATCATATTACACGTAAAGCAATCCAGACTTCTTTTAAAATAAAAAGTTCTACTGATGCTGGGCCTCCAATCCCATGTGAGGATGCAGAGTGCAGCCACGATCCACCACCCACCCATTCCCTTTGCTTTATCCCCTGATACAACGTGCCGAAGCCTGAGGGCCCCGACACAGGTGAGCCCAGGCCTAGATGGATCACGCTTTTGCAAAAGCCAGTAGCTGAATAGCTGAAGCAGGACTGTAGGAGGGGCCAGGGAGCCCTGTGGAAAGGAAGGAGGGAGTGTCTACACCCATAAGACTCCAAAGGAGGGCAATTTAACTCAAGCTCAGAGGCAGGGCTCCCTGGTGAAATGCACCCCCCATCAAGCATGGGGCTCCACAGTGGCAGTGAGCATGTAAATCTGTGAGCACCTGCGACAGTTCTACGATCTCACATGCTATCTTCATGGGTGCTTTAAGCACTTAACATTTTCTAGTGAGTCCTGTGGTCTAGAGGTTACTGGGTAAAGGGCTGGATTAAATCAAAACTGATGGCTCAGCTGGGCAAGGTGGCACACACCTGTAAACCCAGCAACTCAGGAGGCTGAGGCAGGAGGATCACAAGTTCGAGCTAGCCTGGGCAACTGAGGGAGGGCCTCAGCAACCCAGCAAGAACCTGCCTCAAAACAAACAAACAAACAAATAGGCTGGGCAATCCTGTAATCCCAGCAACCTGGGCTGAGGCACGAGGATTGCAGGTTCAAGTCCAGCCTCAGCAGTTTGGCGAGGCCCTAAGCAACTCGGCAAGATCCTATCTCAAAAAATAAAAAGGACTGGGGATGTACCTCGGTGGTAAAGCGCCCTTGGGTTCAACCACCAGTACAAAACAAACAAATGCTGATGGCACCAGAGTCTGCAATTATTGTCAATTTATCCACCCAAGTTTGGAACCCTGGGACCTAGACCTATCTGGATGCCTTTAGCTTAGAGGAATAATTCATAAACAGGGATGATTTTGCTCCCCTTCCCCACAGCGACATCTGGCACAGTCTAGAAACATTCTTGGTTGCTACAATTCAGGAGGTGCTATTGGAAACTGGCAGGTCAAGTCCAGGATGCTGCTAGATAGCTCACACTGGACTCATCAGCCCCAAACGTCAACAGCACTGAGGCTGAGAAACCCTGGCCCAGAACGTTATACTCACAACCTCCTGGGTAAGTAAGCAAGGTTTGGCTCAAAACAGTGGCTGTCACATTAGGCAGTTAGGTTAAAAGTCCCCAAGTTTCCCCAAAAACAAGAGTACTGCCACACCCTAGTGACACCAACTGGACCAGAATCCTCTGGCCTAGCCATGGCAGCCAATACTCACCTTGACAACACCATGTTCCAAAGGAATAAATCCATGATGAGGTGCCTTGCAGTTCACAAGGCAACTGGCAAACTATCTGCTCACTTCCTATTTTCAACAATTTTGTGAGAGAAGAACCAATGTGATCCTCATTTGGAGGCCAACACTCCAAGGAACACGTGGCCCAACATCTCAAACAGAATGCGTAGTTCGAGAACAGGCAGCCTGTTCTGCCTCCAGATCCTTGCCTTTTCTTCTGCTCCACTAAGGGGAATTTCCATGTGTTAGAAAAAGCAGCTGTTTGACTGCATGGCACCTGAGCTGGCAATGTGCGGACCCGCCAGGGTCTCAGGCTGGGAGACTCCAGCGTGCTGCCCTCCAGGGCTCACCCAGAGGCTCTGGTAGCCCATGACTTCTAGGGAGATTTCCGCAGAAGCCCTATCTGCCAGCTGACCCCAGCACAGCTCAGCGTGGCTTATCCTCTTGCTACAGAGAGAGCTGAGGACAACAGTTTCCAGCTCCTTCACTTATCAGGCGGGATCAGCTCTGGGGAGTTACCGTTTAGCTGATTAGCAGAATTCCTGAGGAAGGACCAGAGCTCAGCAGCTGTGCACCTTTCCCCAGCTTGTCCTCGAGGCAAGCTCCAGGGCTTCCTACTTCCTACTGGGACCACTTTGCAAGTCTCCTCTCCTTGGCCTCCAAAATTAACAGACCCCCAAGAGAACAGGGGCTTGATAAGAAATACTCCTGTACACACTTGGGGGCAGTGGTTTCTACAATTAAGATCAGGGACAAAGGCAGCTGAAAGGTACACTTGAGGCTCCAACTCCCAGGATAGGTTCCCATGGCCCCTGAGCAGCCTGGCTAGGCCCAGGTGGCCTCGTCCCTCCATCACGGGGAGGTGTGGCACCTCAGCCCAACACAGCCTCCCTTGCCTTTACCTGAGGTCCTGTCCTCTAGCTTGATGTAGGCCACCTGACCCTTCGCAGTGATCCGCAGCCGGCCACTCCATGATGGCTGGTCCAGCTGCCACTCCGAGGCCCTAAGGGGACAAAAACCACTGAGCCTCTGCCAGAGACTGTTGCTCTCTTTTTCCAATGCTGGGGAAGAGAATGGAAAAGGCTGCTTGTTCTAGACCAGAGGTGGCAAACTTTCTGTCAATATTTTTGGCTTTGCAGGCACCACAGCGTCTGTCATGACTAGACAATTCTGGTGTTATAGAGAGAAAGCAGTTGCACAATACAATAAAGCATGCTGGTGCTTTAAGTATTTTAAGCAAATATTCTACAGAGCATGGCTATATTTCAATAAAACTATAGACACTGAAATCTGAAATTCATATAATTTTCACAGTGGGATATATTCTTCTTTAAAATTCTTCCCAACCATTTAAAAAATGTAAAAACCACTCTTAGTTTGTGGGCCATTCAAAAACATAGTGAGTTTGGGGCTGGAGCTATGGCTCAGTGGTAGAGCGCGTGCCTTGCACATGCAAGGCTCTGGGTTCGATCCTCAGCACCCATAAAAATAAATAAATAAATAAAGTTATTGTGTACAACTACAAAAAAAATATTTTAAAAAAAGTGAGTTGTAGCTTGACAACTCTGTTCTAGACTAGAGACCTTCTCCCAATAGAGATTTCCTCCTAGTTTCCTCTCCACAGAGGAAGCAGCTGGAGGGCCTATTTTTCCTGTGTAAGTCCTGTCCTACTGATATGTCCCAAACTCTGAGTCCCCTTCTTGATCTGGCCTTGAACTGGAAGAAGCTGCACACCAGGATGGTCAGAGTGACCAGTTGGGACCACTGAGACCATCTTGAAGGAAAAGTACAATGATTCATAGACAAAGAAAAGACCAGAGCCTGAGGCTACATGTGAAAAAAGGAAGTAGATGCTTAGGAAATTCTCAAAGGCAGCAACAAATCCTTAAACTCAGGAAAGCATGGACCTACAGAGATAATCTCATTTGCTGTGTGTGTGTGTGTGTGTGTGTGTATGTGTGTGTTACCAGGGATTGAACCATTGAACCCAGGCCTTTGCACAAGCCATGGAAGCAGGCTGCCACTGAGCTACACCCCCAGCCCCTCATTTGGCACTCTTAAAGCAATAACTTCACATTTTAGTTCTAAGCGGCAGCTCAGGGAAAACTCCCAGACAGTAAGAGCCATGGGTGTTTCCAGGAGGCTTTTCTTGGGAAGTTCCTAAGCATAGGTCAGCTCTCAAGAACTTGGATGAAGGCTGTTTTGAAGACCACAGAAATGCAGATGCTCAATTCAGAAGTCAGCAGACTCAGTTTCAGTTCCCCTTACTCAGCTACAGCCTAAATCCTAAGATTCAAGCAAAGAAGAGGTCAAAATGCCAGGGCTGGCAGTTTCCTCAATGCCAAACCAGCCAGGGCTAGTGTTTGGTAACTTCACTGTCTGCAGTTAGGTGTTCAATAAAATACCTGCTCGCTAGAAAATTCACCATGGCTTTTGTTACACAACCGCAAAGGAACAAGAGGACAGATATGTAGACACCCCATCATTTCACATTGTAGGTCAATCCTGTATTTTCAAAAAACTTGCACACACATTGCCTTCAAAAGCCACCCCATGGCCAGAAACACTGGCACATGCCTGTAATCCCAGTAACTCTGGAGGCTGAGGCAGGAGGATTCCAAGATAGAGGCCAGTCTCAGCAACTTGGCCGGAGACCCTGTCTCAAAATAAAAATTAAAAAGGGCTGAGGATGTAGTTCCGTGGTAAAGCACCCCTCGGTTCAATCCTCAGCTCCGCACTACCCCCCCCAAAAAAATGCCACACCCCATTCAATGGCACAAACTAGCCATGAGCTAGGTTATCTGTTTCAGGGATCATCTTTATTCCTCTAGTTTTGACAGGTATTTCAAACGCGAGATAATAAATAAAATCATACAGTACAAAAGGGTATGCGGAGACTCTCCAGCCCTGGTTCTGCTCCGCGGGACGGTTTCAGGGTTCCCTCCCAGAGACACCCATCAACGCGTTTACAAGCACAGGGTGGGGATGACACAAGACAGGTGCGGTGGGTCCCTCCCAGCCACTACGGCTTCGGCCAAGGGTGAAATGCGCGCCAGGGAAGCGGGTGGCAAAGGGCCCCTGGGCTCAGCTATCCGCTGGAAGCTCCGGGACGGGTCCCTCCAGCCGGTTCTGGGTTCCCTTCCCTCCCCTCGGGGATTTCCGCCAGTGACAGGTCCCCTCCCCACTTCAGGCCGTCCAGGATCCCTTCAAGGCCACCGGTCGGCGCGGGAGTCGGACACCCACCACCACTCCTGGCCACCGGGGTCCCCCAGGCTAGGCTCTGACGCCCTCCCCGTCGCCAGGCGTCCCCCGCGTCCCGCTGAGACGCCCCAACCGCGGGTCCCCTCCGCGGTCTGGTCTCCAACCGGGAGAAGCCGCAGCGACATCACCCCTGCCCCTAAACCGGGGAGGGCCGCCCTCGGCTCCCGCGGTGGGGCGGCGGGGAAGGGGTTTGGCAGGGCTAACGGAAAGTCACCTGTATCCGCGGTTGGTGGCCCGCGGTGGGATGCGGTAGACGTGGACCTCCGGCTTGACACAGAGAACAGACTCGTACTCGCTCGCCTCCATCTCGACGCCCGGAGCCCACCGGACTTCCGGCTCCTTCCCCCGCCCCCATGGGACCGGAAGCAGTGCGGCTCTATGACCAGGCTCTGGCTAGAGCGGCGGCAGCTCGCGGGCCTCAGCACCCCGTTCGCCCGCGCGCCCTCTGCTGGAGGCCGTAGCTCGGGACACGCGGGCTGCGTTTGGGCGCCTGGCGCTGACTTGAGGACCAGGCGCCTTAACCGCAGAGAACGCTTCAGTGCAGACCCAGCCGAACGCGTAGGGTGATTGCGGGTCATCGTCCGCCTCTACTGCAGCCCAGGGGCGCAGCGGCTGAGATGCAAAGCGTAGCCCGCCCTGAAGCTCCTCCGTCCTCCTGCCCCTTGCTTCTGCTGCTCTTCTGCCTAATACCCTTCCTTCCCCTGAGGCTGGCCAGGGTTCTAGCGAAATCCCGCCCCGCCCGACCATCCTTCTGGTCCTCGCTGCAACCTACTCCTGTGCCCCCGGCTCTGGTGGCCCGGCTCAAGAAGGAGTTGTATTGGAAGAAGTGAAATTTAGTGACATAACTGATGATTTATTTTTTGTACCTGGGAGCTTTACCACTGAGCTACACACCCAGCCCTTTCCATTAATTTTTTTGTTTGAGACAGAGTCTCGCTAAGTTGCTTAGGGCCTCCCCAAGTCGCTGAGACTGACTTGCAATCCTCCTGCCTCAGTGTGAGCCACTGTGCCAGGCTGTGACACAAGTAATTTTAAAACAATTCCTGCCTTAACTTGTTTTCTTTAATTTCTCTTCTCCTCCCTCTCCCTCCCCCGCCTCATTTTTTGTTCTCTTTCTTTTCTTCTTTTTGATGCTGAGGATTGAACTCAGGAGAGTTTCAGTTTACCACTGAGCTACACACTCCGTCCTTTCTATTAATTTTTTTGTTTGAGCAGGGTCTCTGTAAGTTGCTGAGGCTGGCCTCGAACTTGTGATCCTCCCGCCTGAGTCTCTGGGCTTAACTTGGGTTTCTCATGGAACATTTTAGGGGATACCATGCCCCACCATAGTCAAATTCTCAAATCCATTCTCTCATTTATTCCACAAATATTTTTTCCAGTGTCCACAATGTACTCGGTCCTATGTGGGGTACCTCTGATCTCAAATCTGTGACTCACTGAATATTGTTTTTTGGGGGAAGGGGCGATACCATTGATTGAACTCAGGGCTACTCAGTAACTGAGCCACATAGATAGGGTCTCACTTAGTTGCTTAGGGCCTCGCTTTGACTGAGTCTGGCTTGAGCCTCTTGATCCTCCTGTCTCAGCCTCCCAAGGCACTGGGATTACAGAGGAGCGCCATTAGGCCCAGTTTCACTGACTATTCTTAAACCCTCTCCTTGGGGCTGGAGATATAGCCCACTTGGTAGAGTGCTTGCCTTGCATGCCATAAGGCCCTGGGTTCAATCCCCAGCACCACAAAACAAAACAAACCTTTCTCCTCTCTCTGCTTTTTACTCTGTATAAGCTCTTTGTTAAAGGATTGACCTAACTTTTTTATCAATGTAAAATATATATGACATGAAGCATACCATTTTCACCTTTATTTTTTTGTTTCGGTGCAGGGCCTTGCACATGATAAGCGCCTGCTCTGCCACTAAGCCATAAGCCCCCAGTCATTTTAACCATTGTAAGTGTACAATCCTGTGCGATTATGAACATTCACAGTGTTGTGTAACCGTATCATAGTTTCCAGAAGTTTTCATCACCCAACAGAAACCTTGTCCCATTAACTAATAACAACCAACTCCCCCTCTGCAAACCTGGGTGACCTCTATTCTACTTTCTGTGTGTATGAATTTGCCTATTCCAGGTACCGCAGACAGGTGGAATCAAAGGACACTTGTTCCCTCCCATCCCTGCCCTGCTGGGCATTGAACCCAGGGTCACTCTACCACTGAGCTACACCCGGCTCCTTTTATTTTCATTTTGAAACAGGGCCTCACTAAGTGGTCCAGGCTGGCCTCCAAGTTGTGATTCTCCCGTCTCAGCCTCCTGAGTCACTGGGATTCCAGGTGCACACCACCCTGCCCGGCACAATGCTTGTCAGGTATCTTCAACTTCATGTAATGTTTTCAAAGTTTGTTCCTGGGGTAGCGTATCTCAGAATTTTGACCCTTTATTAAAAGGCTGAAGGATATCCCGTTGTGTGTATAGACCACATTTTGTGCCTTCATTCATTATTGATGGACGCTTTGGACATCACCACTTTTCGGCTGTTGTGAATAGGGCTCTGGGAACAACACGGGTGCACAAATATCCGAGTGTCTGTTTTGGAGGAGGTGCCCAACGGTCTTCCTCAGCAGCGGTGACATTTTCCATTCCCTCCAGCAGTGTACAAAGGTTCCAATGTTTCTACATCCTTGCCAACGCGGGTGATTTTCCATGCTTTTCCGACTCTGTGTAATAGCCTCTTAATGGGTGTGCAGTTCACCTATTTTTTTTAACTTCTATGTGCAGTGACTTCTCTTCTAATTTTGACTTCACTCAATTCCCTGATTCTTTGGGGAAGAAATTAAGAAATTGCCCAGACAGTGCGGGGTTCTTCTTCCTGGTTCTCGGATCCTGTCTCATTTTCTGAAGTTCCTACAGTGGCAGGCTTAGAAGATGGAGGAGAGAGGCGGAGAGCAGAGGGAAGGGGAGGGACAGTCCCACACGGAAAGCTCTGTCCCCTCCCATTCCCATCTTTCTTTGGGCTTGTCTGCTGGGGGCTAGACTGTGAGCTTCTTGCGGGCAAGACCGTGTCCCTGCCAGCTTTGAAGCCTGGCACCGAGTGAGCCTGCATCCCAAAGCCAAGAGGTAATGCGGGGACGGGCCACCAGGTTATCTTTCTCAGTCTGACATCTTGAATCAGTGTGTGCCCAACAGCTTAGGGGAAATGGGGTCTCCTGGGAATAGGGCATATGGACGCGTTGAGACAGAGAAACTTCCAGCCGGGAGAGACCAGCTTGCCAGAGCCAAACTTTGGGAGGGTGGTCACCTGCAGCACCAAGGTCCCCCCTTCCTCTCTGTAGCCAGGCTGTGTGGAGGCGACCTGCTGGGACTGCTGGTGGGTCTCAGGTCTCAGCACACAGCTGCCCCAGGTGGGAGACCTTGCTCTTCATGGGTCACGAAGGCAATCCTTTCTCTGTGCCTGGACAGCTGGGTCTTAGAAGGTGTTCAGAGCACTTCCCACTCTGTATGCCGGGTGCTGGGTGCCGGGTGCTGGGTGCTGGGGCTGCTGAGGCGAGGCCCACCCAACCCTGCCTTCCTGGGGCTCCCAGAGGGAGAAGACCGAAAGAAAAACCGTCATTTGCAACACAGAATGACAGATGCCATGATGGAAAAAAGTCACAGAAGTCCAGGGAGCACAGAGACAAGCCCCCTGGGAGAGGTCACCTTGACATAATCCCTCCTGTGAGGTAGGCAGGGCAGCGATTGTCATCCTCATTGTGTAGTGAGGGCCTCTAAAGCAGTGCTGAGCCTGGGGAAGGACATGACCCTGCAGTTGGAGGAGGGCAGACGGCCCCTGACCACGTGACTGGAGGTTCCGAAAGGCGTTCCTAAGCCCCTGCGGCTCAGGTCACCGGACCTGCCGTCCACTCCCAGTGTAACCACCCGGCACCCAGCAAACGGCCCAGTGAAACCAACAGGCAGAGGACAGGCTCGGGGGCCACAGTGTGAGAGGAGCTGGCACTGCGTCGCCCAGCCAGCCGCTTCCTGGTAGGTCCAGGGCCAAGC